CCAGTTTCTTTTCAAAATTTCCTATTCCATTTAATAGTTTATTTAATCAGAACAAAATCTATTTTCGGAAATCCTTGCTAACATACAAAATTATTTATGCATTATAAATTCCCTTCATATTTTTGGTGCAATATTAAATTAGAATGTCATTATATCTGAAGGCAATTAAAGTTATGCAATAATGTTCCATTTTCAAAACGCTCGAGTTATTGATATTTATGCAATAAAGTTCCACAGTTGATTATAAAGTCAAAAAGTTTTTCTAGTAAAAATCACTCAAGTTTTTAGGCATTAAAAGTCATTTGTTAGTTCACTTCTTATCATTCAGAATCATTGATAAAAGTCAGAAAATTATTAAACACTAAAGTACTTACATTTAACTTTTCCCAGGTAAAATTACTTAATTAATTACTCAAAATTTTTAGCTAGCACGCACATAAATGTTGAACGAATTTCAAATGTTATTTCTTTCATAATTTTCCGTACTTTTTCTAAGTTAAATCGAACGCGTTTTCTCCGAGGCCTTAATAAGAACTTTTCGCGGATTTCAACCGGACAGACTTATTAGGTACTATAAACTTTAACTCAAACTGAACTGGACTGCTAACAACTGGCAACTTGTTACAGTTCAAAATTCACTGTATCAATTTGTTAGTTTTATATAAATTCTCATTTAATATTGTATTCCAAAGCTCTGAGATTGTTTTTAATTAATATCCTTTTATTTTAATCATTTCATGGACATAAACAATTCATTTTCCGACAGGTTGGCAGGGGGCTTCTGTTTTCCTGTATTCTTGTTTTGTTGGGGAAATATTCCTTGTGGGACTGCGTCTGAAATGTAAAAGGATGACTTAAGATGAAATAGAATTCAATTTCAATACTCACCTTTATTAAAAATTGGGGCCCAGTGCTTTGTTTACCATCCGTTAATTATTGGGTTATGATTTATTATTTTGACACTTGAACTTGATCTTGAACAGCTGTGTGCTCCGAACACTTCGGTTTTTATTATTTAGCGGTCTTGGGATGTCGCACAGGTGCTTGGAGTAAATGGGTCAAGGTTTCACCGATAAATCAAAGTCATTGGCGTAGTTCACAGAATTGTTACTGTGTTGCTGTCTGTAGCAACATCAAGTTTTCTTCGTTTTGTTCATGAATTGAACTTTTCTGTGTAAATTATAATTTAGCTGAGGAAATTAACAACTAGTTGAGATTTTAAAGAGTTCTATTGTGTTTTGGGACTGTATGGAAATTATTTTGAGTTTTGGCAACAGACCCAGAGAGACGAGTCGTCCCTGGTTCTGACCATGAGATTGCAGTTTTGTCATTAGGGGGGAAATTGAACCTTTCAAGTTCTTTCTTCGGTCTTTTCTACCCCAACTTTCAGCCTGAATGGTCGTTTTAGCTGCTAAGCCTGCTTGAGTCCTAGGATTCGCCTTTGTACTTAAGGGATTTTGGCTACAGTTTTCGCGTGGAATCCGTTTCTTTGGTTTACTGGATAAACCGCAAGTTGTGCTGGAGGCACGTGTAATTTTGGATTTCCACAAACCTTTTTGTAAGGGATTTTTGACCACGTGACTGAGAGTTGGTCCCAAGGGCTTATATGTCCATTTTTGTCCTGCCTTTCCGCCGTCTTATACGTGTGCCTTGATGGTGATATTAGGGAGATATGCCCTTTCGACAATTACGGTGTTGCCGGATGAGGAAATGATGTCCTTAGGCGTTGTAGGAATGTGATTGTTGGAAGGTATGTTTTTATCTATTTTTATATATTAGGGAGGGAATAAAATATAGGGTTTTTGCTTAGTAAAATCTAGAGGATGGGCTATTATGAAAGCGCCATTTGTGTGACGTTAAGTTCATTCTAAATGTGCAGACTTCGTAGACCCGGCTTGTCGAGGCCGTCTAGTGCTAGTCTTTGTGCTGTCAAAGCTAGTTATAATTTAATATAGTTCTGGAACTAAGGCTGAATACCTTTTCTAGGGCGTTGTTTTTGGTTGGTGTCTTGTTCCGGTGTCTGATGTTGATGTCTAAATCAAGTCTAGTGTTTGGTGCACAATGCACGTAGCTAATGGGTAGCAGTAGCAGCTGATGTAGCTTCTGGACGTTTCTCATCCTTTCCAGGCTGGTTGCTGATTTCATTTTACCAACAGGATTGAGTAATGTATAACTTCTCTATTTTATTTCTTACATAATAATTAGAATGATGCTCAAGAGTTGAATGTTACTAAGGTAGAGTGTTTTATTATATATCTAGTTACATATTTTCGTGGCATTGTCATGCTATAAATATAATCGTCTTACGCCTGGTATACCATGGTATTTTAGGGGATGATTTTGCATATTTATAATTAAAGTTTAAATGTCTAGCGTAATTGATTAATTGCCCTTATGTAATCAATATGATGACCTTATGTGAACACGACTTTATTATTTAGTGTAATATTTTGATGTCGATTATTATTGTTATACATTTATTTACATTTCAACTGTTACCTGTTATCTATTGCCCAAAGCTACATAGGTTTAGTAATTAAATATTGTCCGTTGTTTTGAACCTGACTTTTATTGATTCCTTCTGCTGAGAACAATGCCTAGGTCCAAGCGACCCATGTTTAGTAAGTACTACTTTCTTTATCATTATATCTTTGAGCTAGCTGGTGTTATAACTGGGAAATTTAGGTTATAAACTCAACTGACAACTGCCTTCCACTTCTAAAACCGCGGTATTTATATTTAATCGATCCCTCCAAATTTCTCTGTCCATGACTGGCTCAGCAGGACTCCTCCAGGTTTTTGGGGATTGTGATCGACAGACATTTGTCTTGGGATGATCAAGTTGAGTCAGTATGCACTAAATTGTCACGTAGCAACTATGCCATCCTACAGCTCAGAGATTTTGTGGATACTTATACTTTAAAAACCTTCTACTTTGCAGCGGTGCATTCTACTCTGGCCTATGGATTGTCCGCTTGGGGCAACTCCTGCGGTGTCGAGAGGGTTTTGATATGTCAAAAACGCATTATCCGAACCATGTTCAGACTTCCTTTCAGGGAATCATGCCGTGAAACCTTTAGAAGGGAAAAAATACCAACTGTCATAAATATCTATATTTTGCAGTGTGCTTGTCGAGTTTTTAAGAAGTCTGGTGGCTGTGCAAGGTTTGGCGACGTTAATTACTACAGAACGCGTAACGCGGATAAATTGTATGTTCCTTTGGCTAGGTTGTCTCAGGTGCGGGATGGTCCTGAAGTTACATCACTGAGAATTTATAATCATCTGCCTGAACGCATTAAGAGCACTACGGGCTTTCAAATTTTTAAGGGGACTCTTAAGGCCATGCTTGCTGAGTGCCCTTTCTACTCCTTGATTGAGTTTTTCAATCATAACTTCATTTAGATTTTTGTAATTTGATTTTGTTTTTTGTGAATGATATTTTACCTTTATTTTATTTATTTGACAATTCCGATACATTGTACCTATATGTCTATGGAAATAAACGATTTGATTTGATTTGATTTGATTTGATTTGAAGATGATGCAATTTCCTTGAAATTTTTATCATTTTTCAGTTTAAAAATCGAATAATTATGTCGCAATATCCTGATTTATCGGGGTCAAATACATTGGTTCAAGAATGTCATAAATCATTCGATTTAATTATTTGGCCTCGCTTAAAAAGTTCATCGATCGGATATTAGGATGACATCACGCTGGGGAAATAATATAATTTCGAATGTATTTGGGGTTACATTAATTTGTTCCATTTTTAAATTATCGATACTGATTTGGAAATACCGGAAATTCAGTTTTTGATTATTTGATATTATTTAATTTTTTACAGTAAAGACATTGTGATTTATGGGTCTAATTTCTGGATCATTACACCTATTTTGGCTTTGACGGGGACTTGTTTTTCGAATTCTTTCAAAATTTTTGATACTGTTGGAGTTATCATAAGGATCACCGACACATGCTACTAAACTACAATAGGCTCATTCAGCATATTTTTTTTATTACATATTCTAAAAGAGCGTATTGAGTTTAGCAGTTGTGCAAAATTTCATAATTTTCCGAGCCCTTGTTCATATTTAAATAAATTATCAAAAAGCTCCAAGTTTGGAAATTTCGAAACACGCGGTGACGTCACTGCATCTCTCAAGTTGGTCGTGTGACGGCCTTTAGCCCGTCTTGACTCGAGAGATGACGTCATACTATCTCTAAGCGATGAATTTCTGAGGCATAATGTTTTATTATTCAAAGCCGCATAACTTTTTTAATATTTATCCAACTGCGCTGAATTTTTTTTTTGTGTGCTATATGTGAGTAATACTCCATAAAAATATCAAAAAACGTGGTTAATGGAACCTCACTGAACGAGCCTATTCTTCGGTTTCAACTTTTCGAGTAATTTTAAATAGAGTCCGCGTCAGCAGTAAAGAATACGGTGACGAAACGGAAAGCTGCGCGAAGTGGGTCGCACCTCTCTCCCTCGTCTATCTCTCGCTGTCTGCCGTGACCTCGGACGTGAGGTGAAACCAGCAGCGGGGTATCTTTTTAGACAAAAATTGGATAGAAAATAAACTAAATAATTATGCCTGCTGGCCGTACGACAATGAACCACGTGCTTGGCGTTCGGCAGCAGCACCCATCAATACGATAGTTCGGTTAGTCTTCAAAATTGGGTTTGTGCGCATATGACGACACCGTACTCTTTACTCTTGACGGGGACTCTACTTATTAGTTAAATCTTTGAAACACACAAAGCTGTAGTTCTGGTATCGCTGAATTAATGCCACCATATTGTCGTGTCTAAGATAATAGGGTATCTCCCTTCGGTTAATTAGACCCAATCGTCTTCCAAAAGAGGTTCATAAGCTTCAGGAAAATCATTGATTACGTTACATTTAAATAACATTCCGTTGCAAGTTGAACGAATTATTGAATTATTAATTCGTACGTACAAGGAACCTAAACCCATGGAAGGTCAATGTTAACGACAGTTCACTGGTAATTATTGTAATTAGCGATCACATGGTCGCTTGATTAATATAAAATAATGGTTTTTGGAAGATGAAGAGGTAGTTTACAGACGGAGAATTATCCGCGTTTAACTAACGCGGATAATTCTCTGGGTTTACTTAACCGAAGAGGGATGCCCTATTATCCTTGATACGACAATATCAACGACAAAGATATTTTCTTTGTTTTCGACTGGGAATTCCTTGGCTTCTGACGGTGCTTCTTTCTGAATTGCGTTGTTAAACTCACTTTTGTTCCCCTTCCGCACTGAATAATTACAAATTCAAACAATGATTAGGGATAACTGGGATGGACCAAGCATTTTCTTTCTTCAAAAGAAAAAGCTTGGATTTTGGAGGCCTCGTGCGAAGTGCAAAATTCCTCAAAACATCATCTACTTCGTCTTCGTATATTTCACAAATCTTCGACATACCGCTCTTTTCTTTCTGCTTTTGGCTAAAAAACGTGAGTTTAACTGGTCCGATTTTATCAATATTAGCAGCCGCAGCATTATTCAAAGTTTCAAGTCCTTTTACTGCCAGATGTAGATCACTAGATTGTGCTTTGAAACCCGAGTATATGTTGGTTAGGCTTTCCGTTTCCTGGATAGCGAAATGGACTAATCTTATTTCTATCAATTGAATGATTTTTAATTTGATGTCGTTGTTTTCTTCGGTAGGTCTTTCATGATGATGTTTTTCAATTGGACGATCATCGATATTTAGCAAATTACTCTGAACTTGTTCTGATATCGATGATAGGAATAATATTAACGCAAATAAATATTTCTGAACTGTAGTATCCCGCATCTTTACACCGGAAAAAAGGTGATCTTTACGTCCTTATTATACCTATGTTTGTTCAAAGACCATATATCTGCCCAAACTCCGTTAAATCGTCCTCTCTGTACAGGCTGTACATGAACATTAAAATTGCCAGATAAGAACTCGGACTCTGTTATCAGATGGCAAAGATTGTTGTAAGCAATATCTGAAAGGTTTGTTGAGGTTTTTATCATGTTTTTGCGCAATATAGAAACGGCTTCCGTTATTAAAGTACATAGGCGCAACTAGGGGGGGGGGGGGGTGCTAAGCACCCCTAACGCAAAAATTAGCACTCCCATTCGGCATCCCACCATAGCACTACCTACAGTGGCACTACCTAACACTAATATAAAAAATTAGTGCAACCAAATTATTATTTTTTTTGCACTTTTTGTACTTACTTACGTCATCGATGGCGTCATAATTTAGAAAAAAGTATTTGTCGTTAATTAATTCATAGAGAACGTTCGCAATTATTATTGTTATGGAATAAAATTTTTCAACCGGGGCCGGTATTACAATATTACCTTGAAATCAAGACTTACCCTAAAATATAGGGGTTTTATGTTATATTTAGGATGACGTCATCGAACAAGGTCAGGCAATGTTGCCAATGTCTATGTTCATATTCTATATTTTAAGGTGACATTGAAATACCGGCTCTTAAAAAATCATTGGAGTCCCAAATATATAAATTAATTAGCTGCCTATTATACAGGGTGTTCCTATTAAATATCATGTACAGGGTGCTGCAATTTGGAGTGTTTTAACAGGAAAAACACACTTCCAGACCAGATAGAGGAAAATTGACTTAGATGTCATGGGATCGATTTTCGAGAAACGTCGATTGTCAAAAACCGTATCGCGATATCTTCAATGGTACCATTAATACAGGGCGATTTTCGATTTTCCCCTATTATGAAAAATGGCTATAAGTTTTTTATTTATCAATTTTTTTCATTTCTGTAAAAACATTATGGAGACACTTTTTTGAGCACAATCCAGTGGCGGACTCGTTTTTTTTCTATATTGCTCCGATTTCGAGATATCGACCAAATTCCGATATTTCGCGCTTCTCGAGCGTGATAGGACATTTCCTTGCGAGTGCGCATATCCGTAAAAAATTTTTTCTGGAAAACTGGCAATGCAGAAGTTGTGAAATTTTTCTAGAAGAAAAACGAAAGTGAGGAGCTCATTATAGGTGAATTTCAAAATTTCTCAGTAAAAAATTCTGGAAAATTGACTTTCTCAGTAAAATTAAGGAAAAGTCATCCTCTCGCATTTCAATTTTTTTTCTGGAAAACTGGCAAAGCAAAAATTGGGAAATTTTTCCAGAAGAAAGAGGAAAGTGAGGAACTCAATATGAGAAAATTTCAAAATTTTCTAGTGAAAAATGACTCCGGAAAAATTCTGGAAAATTAAATTATTTAAGCAGAAGAGAGGCAAATTCACCCTTTCATATTTAAATTTTTTTTTGGAAAACTGGCAAAGGGAAAATTTTGAAAATTTCCCAGGGAAAAAATGAAAGTGAGGGGCTCTTTATAGGAGAATTTCGAGATTTTCCAGTGAAAAATCGCTCCAGGTTTCTGACTCACTCCAGGAAAAATTCTGGAATATTGACTTTTCAAGTGAAATTAAGGAAAATTTATCCTCTCACATTTCATTTTTTTTTTGGAAAACTGGAAAGTAAAGACTGTGGCATTTTTCCAAGAGAAAGAAGAAAATAGGGAGCTCATTATAGCATAATTTCAAAATTTTCCATTGAAAAATCACTCGAGGAAAAATTCTGGAAAATTGACTTATTTAAGCAAAATTAAGGAAAATTCACCCTCTTACATTTTAATTTTTTATTTTCAAAATTTTTCAGTGAAAAATCATTCCAGGAAAAATTCTGGATTATTGATTTTTTTAAGCAAAATTAAGGAAAATTCACCTCTTAAGGAAAATTGTGAAAATTTTCCAGAAAAAAAAAGAAAGTGAGGAGCTCATTATAGCAAAATTTCGAAATTTTCTAGTGAAAAATTACTCTAGGAAAAATTATGGAAAATCGACTTATTTAAGCAAAATTAAGGAAAATTTACCCTATTACATTTTAATTTTTTTCTGGAAAACTGGCAAAGGGAAAATTTTGAACATTTTCCAGGAAAAAGAGAAAAGTGGGGAGCTTATTATAGGGAAATTTAGAAATTTTCTAGTGAAAAATCACTTGAGGTAAAATTCAAAGAAAATTGACTTATTTAGGCAAAACTAAGGAAAATTCACCCTCTTACATGTTAATTTTTCTCTGGAAAACTGGCAACGGGAAAATTTTTAAATTTTTACAGGAAAAAGAGGAAAATAAGGAGCTCATTAGGGGAAAATTTCAAAATTCTCCAGTCAAAAATCACTCCAAAAAAAATTCTGGAAAATTGATTTATTTAAGCAAAATTGAGGAAAATTCACCCTCTTACATTTTAATTTTTTTTCGGATAACTGGCAAAAGGAAAATTGTGAAAATTTTTCAGAAAAAAAAAGAAAGTGAGGAGTTCATTATAGAGAAATTTCGAAATTTTCCAGTGAAAAATCCTTCCACGAAAAATTCAAAGAAAATTGACTTATTTAGGCAAAATTAACGAAAATTCGCCCTCTTACATTTCAATTTTTTTCTGGAAAACTGGCAACGGGGAAATTTTGAAATTTTTACAGGAGAAAGAGGAAGGTGAGGAGCTCATTAGAGAAAAATTTCAAAATTTTCCAGTAAAAAATGACTCCAGGAGAAATTTATTTATATATTTTCGGATAACTGAATAAACTCTATTCTAAGTTAAAAAATGTATTACAAAACAATAATTCCGAAGGTAAAAACCTCGTGCCGTGCAACGAACTATATTTTTGTTTGAAATTTCAGACATAAAAAAACCTATTTTTCAAAAAAAAAAGGCAAATGATGGCGTAACTACAAACCCTCGTGAAACTAACTTTTTTTTACGCGTCTCATTTCCTTCCATCAAACCCCATTAAGAAAAAAGGGTGCTGCAGCACCCCTCAAATTTGGAGCCTAGTTGCGCTTATGTTAAAGTAATTACTTCATCTTGAACATCTTCTAGAGCAAGCCAATGAAGAAAAGCCTCCCAGTACCATTCGAAAATTGCAGAATGCATGATTTTGTGCATCTTGACCATTTTATAATAATCTTTGCTACCTTCGATAACCTGACAAACATACTTTAGCTTCTGTAAGGAGATCCCCAATCCCCGAATGCGCCATAATTTTCCCAACAGCCCCGAGAAAATTCAAACAAATACGGAATCCACCCATTCGAGGGATAATCGACTTGTATCTTTCAGAATATTTTTTCTTCAAAGTAATTATGATTTCATAGACGGCTTCGTCTGCTGAAATAACACAAAACTATTGTCCATTTGCTTCCGAAACTTTCATGAAATATTGTATAGACTGCGACACAACTTCTATATTAGTATAGGTGACTGATCAACAAAAGGACCATAACCAATGTTTGTTTCAATTGTATCAGTAGACTGGAGAAATGTTTCATGAAATTGCGACCAAGTTATCGGAGAAAAAGTTTTATCATCATCATCGTCGTATTCTAGGTTGACAACGTTCCATATTATTGACAGATCATGGTTCTTGGAAGAAGTTTGTATGTCAGCATCAGCTACATATTGATTTGTCTCAGAGACCTGTACTTTGCTATCAGCTGATGAAATGGTAAGAGCTTCAAAATCATCAGTCTTCTCTACTTTCGCAATTTCCCTTTTAGAGTGCTCAACTATTAATAACAGCTGATTTGTTGTAGTTGATCGTTTCTGATACATTATGTGAGTAGTGCCATAGGTTGTTTTCCCGTCTTTTGTATGCTCTTTAAAATTCAAATTGTCCATTGCATACTGCATGAAAATCGTCGCTTCTAAATTATGCGGTAAAAATATGCCTCTCACAGTCACTTCTTCATCCACACACAAAAATCAGTAATGTCAAACTTTGGTAATGTACCTTTGAGCATCCGAATAACTAATGCAATCTCCAAATTTATTCAATACATTTACAACATTTTTACTATTTGTTTGCTTTATCATATAAATGGCCAATCCAACATGTTTTGGCGTTTTTATCCCGCAATTATTGTAAATGATGTCTTGACATAAATGTACCACCTTATCTTCATCACCCGTATTCAGTATCATTATATTCTCATCTGTGAATTCTACTGGTGCGTCGGTGAGCAACCATATGAAACAAAATTGAACAGGGAAGGTGGAATACCTTTTTTTGAAAATTCTCTAGTCAGAAATGCTGAAACTTAAGAAAGGCACATCTACTGGGTTTTAACATTTTTGCACTATGATAATGACTATAGAGTGCTTAGCTTTCAATGATATTTTTTGCACATTTTCCTCACTTTTATTTGTGGGGCTTTCTTCCTGTTCTGTATCAATCAGATGAATAAGATGACTAGTTGAAATAATATAATATAGTTATTACCATGATGTTCTCCCACTACACACTACGAAATTGCTTCTTAGTTTTCCCAATAACTCGTCGTTTTTTGGATATGTTTCAGTCCAGTAAATGTTGTCCCTAGCTTTCGTGTGAAGTAGATATCTGATATTGGAGACAGTATAAGAACTTCGTTAGTCAAAAGCAATTTTATCTTTAAATCTGGTAAAATTTGTTCAAAAATGACATGGTAAGTAATATCAGCTTTTGTGAATTTATTGGAATCTTTACTTTAATATACCTACTTAGATATTTACCCTTCTGGGTGAAAATGAATGCTGAAAATACTAAAACTGCAATATTTCAAAAATTAAAACGTTATTATATTGTTTATACATAATACCTAATTGATGTTAAACCCATACTCCTATTATTATACAAGATGTTGGTTAAACGTAACAAGTCATTTTCAAAAATTAGAGAATTTTAAATACAAATAAGTACCATCGTCACCAAAAGTAACTGGGACAGCATCATATTAGCTCTTGTAGGTACTGTTATATGAATTTTAGTGTGGTAGAATTAGTCCAGGAGATTAATACGAATTATTTTTGTCCCAGATACTTTTGGTGACTAATATACCACACAGA